CAATCATGTTTTTAGAAGCTGAAAACAAATGTTATAACTCGATGAATGATAATGCTGAAGTAATAACAGTTTCCTAGTAGGCACACTTGTTTAATGGATTGCAAAGTCTTTCAGCTTATAAACGCAGTGCCTTATCACTCACTGAAATTGTTTTTAAAGTCTAAACTTTAGCAATAATTCACTTTGCTACAGAAGTCACAAAAAATATACAGTTTGTTTGTGTTCTGATTCTCATTAGTGGAGTCATTGTCTTCACTGGAAGATAACTTAGAAAGTTGATTTTACTTTGGTGTGACAGGGACCAACATAATGCTAGGCTTGATTTAAAAGTGCTGTCTTCTTCCCTTTTGCTGGAATTTTCTGTACCATAATAAATGTACGAAATTGTGCTGGCCTCAGCCTGAAGCCTAGGGTTATGCACTCCTTTACTGAAAGATATTTAGAAAAATCTGTCTCAGTGCTTGGCAACTACTCCGACAGAAAACAGATAAAAATAAGGGTGGTTTATCAGTTTTGCTGTTCTTATCATGTTTCAGGTTGAAGGCTGTTGAAATGATGAAAAACAAACAGCACTAAATAGGGTTCCGTCATTATCGCTGCTGTGGGGAGCTGAGGTTTTCAGGATCAAAGAAAAATGCATTTGCTTTCAGAACCACAATCCTTCATTTTGAGAGGTACACTGCAGTCAGATACTGATGGGTAAAAAAAGAAAGAGAGAGAGAGTAAATTGGAGAAGGAAATAAAATATGTGTGGCTATGGGAACTTGAAAATTCAAACAAAAGTAGGCCAGCATACTTTTAAAAGCTCTGAATTTTCAACATTCTCTTTCTTAAGAAATAAAAAAATGGTGCCTGAGGATTGTTATTTCTGAACAAATAGAATAAAGTAGAAGAATATGTTATTTCCAGCTTATCAAATCGTAAGAACTTCCTTTGTCTTTATAAACATACATTAAAGGAAAATCCCCCATGGCAGAGGCTTTGCAGGATGTTCCTGTATTTGTTGTTGGTTTAAGAGAGGGCCTAAGATTTTTTAGCTTATGTTTTTTATGTTGCAACTCAAGTTAAGCACCTTTCATTTCCCTGGAGTGGAAGTCACCACACTAAGTAGTAGAGACAGGGAGGTTGTCCTTTCCCTCAAACTGATTATCACCTGGCATATGGATAATAACCAAAACTCAAAAATAAAGAAAGAAAGTAGCTGAAAGAGTGGTATAACTTGTCATAGGAATCCAAAGAGGAATGAATCAAGAGGAGATTGTCCTTTATAGGTGTAGTGGTTGTGGTGAATCTTAAGGAAGGTAAAGGTCAGCAGGTAGCTCTCAACTGCCACTCATTTGCCATGAGATATATACAAAAGCAGTAAGTTTCTTTTATTTTTTTGGAAATAGAGAAATGGAGAGCAGCTTAAGCTTGAGGTAGATTAAATCGAGATCTTAAAAGCCAAATCACAAATGATCTTGAGGTGACTCTCTTCAGTATTACATTGCCTGCTCCTTGTTGTCAACATCAGAAATAGGATTTAAAAAGTGAAGTTTGTACCTACAAAGTAATTGCTCCTTCCTTAATGTTTGCAGAACCCTTGATATGTATAATTCAGCCTTAAGAGTTACTAGATAATTAGACTCACTGTCTATCAGATTTAAGAAAAATGAAAAAAAACAGAGAGGGTTAAAGTGACTTTCTAAAGATCACACAACAATTGGTATTTGAAAAATGTCTTGGAATTCATGGTCTTGTTTCAAGTTAGACACACAACTAATACTTAAGCCAAAGAAATCCTTCTCACTCTAGAGAAGACATAACACAAAAATTCCCAGGGTCAGTTCCTTCCCTATCTTCCGTATGACCACCAAGAACAGACAGTGAGCAATATTTTATGCTTCATGAGGGTAAAACAGGTATTGCTGAAGTCATATCCTCTCTTTTTTGTCTCTTTTCTTCACATAATTCATGATTTAGGCTTGGGTGTATATTTGGTTTGTCTTCCTCTCTCATTTTTTGGAAAAAATACACCATTACCATTAAGTGAAAAAGGTTGATACTGTTTATATTTGGAGTTACCTACCAATTTGGCAGGATCCTGTACTGTCTTCTGCCAGACCATAGAACTATGCATCATCCAGACACCTGAATAGTCCCTGCTGCATATTTTAAGAAAATACTCCTGACATTATCTAGAATTGACTTGATATATAGTCGTGCATGAGACTTACAGTGTGGTTTTCACTAGGAAGAACTGCATGTTGTGTCCAATTAGATGTCGTTCCCAATTAGAATGAAGGCAATTTAGAAAGACCATACAGAAAAAAAAAAAAGATGTTATTCATAATCTTAGGGAATCTGCCAACTGGAGTTTAAAAGGAACCTACTAAGACAAACGCCTTGCAAGTTAAATCTTATTTAGGTTCTTTTAAGTGTAGTCCAGTTGCAAATCAGGAGACTAAGAAATAGAAACTGCTTATTTTTTTCGAGCCTCCTTACTTCCTATCAAACAATACATGTAAAAATCTTTAGGTATTTCCTGCATATTCCAAAGCTCCATCGGATGTAGAACTTCATTCACAGACTGAAGAGTCCTGCTTCCAACATAGCCTTACCTTCCCTGGATGGGCTGCTCAGTGCCTAAAACCTCTGTACCAACCACTGATTCATCCACAATCATTTTTGAATGCTTAGAGTACACCTAGTGCATGGCATACAAAAATGCAATTGTTGCTCTGAAGATTGCACTATCATTCATGAATGGCCACCTTACCAGATTAGTTAATAAGACAATTTGATTAGGATTATAGTGAAGTGATATTTAAGGCAATATGGATCTGGGGAAGAGGGTGATTAAGCCCAACTAGGGAGCAGGGGTGGAGAATCACATGGAAATTGGTCACGTAGTAAATTTATTTAGTAGAATAGAGGATATAAATGGGACTTTATGGCTTTCACTGTGTTGGAACCCCCAAGCTAACTGGGCTCCATACTAAGCATGCATCAGTTTGTAGTTGGCTCTGTGCTAAGGGACGTGCTATTGTTTTTAACACATTGTATACAGAAGGTTTTTACATGATAGCTCAGTCATGTCAGTTTGTGGACTGAAACCCAAATGGAGTCTGAGAATCCATGGGACCTTTGACACAGGACAATAAAGTAGCAAGCAATTTTAAAATAGTGCTTATATCAAATTTCCACTTAGCCTAGATGAAATAGTTTCTATATGGAATTTGGTTTTGATATACAGTGTTTAGCAATTAAATAAATATAATTTTGTTTCTGCAAAATGCTCTCTTAACACCTTATAGGCACATGGCATCAGAGAGATTGCCATTTCATTAGAGACACTTACCCTGGTGCATATTAAACTCATTCATTTCAGAGTTCTGGTATATTCCTTGCACAGGTGACTTGCCAAGCCTGTGGAAAATTTCACATATAGCTCCAGAGTCAGCAATATGATTACAGAAGTTATTCTTTTTTGCTGTTCCAGCTTCCTAAATACCCCATCATTTATTTCAAATGGCACATCATACACAAAGTCAACACATCCTTTTTCTTTCCAGTATTGTAAATTATGTTATTTGATAGACACTGAGCTCTCTGAAGATAAGATCAAAGTAATCTTTTTTGTTGTATCCCCTATATCACTTAGCAAAGTACTTCATTGTTTATTGACTAAAAAGATGGATAGGTATGTGGTTGGTCAAACAAATTATGAATGCATAGATACACAGGTATCAGCAGCCAGCAGCATGTAGCAAATGAAGGAGTCTGTCTGTTATTTGCTGTCCAAGGTGGTGAAATATACCTATTCCTGTTGGTTGCAACTTGGTAAACATGCATGATCAAAAATAAAAAAAAAAAACCTTTTGGATTGAGACATTCTTGACACATAAATGTGCTCATCCTGAACAATTTGATAAATGTGAAATGTGCAAGGATTACTGTGAGATTATAAGAACACAGCTGTGTTATTTTCTTATTATCTTCTTCAACCTTAAAGGATATTCCAATGTTTCAAGCATCTGACTCTGTAATCCAGTTCACTAGAATAGACTGTCTCCTTGGAACACTAGATCTTGTCTAGCCATTGTTCTTTGTTGACTCTCTCACCTCCTCTTCTTTGAATCAGTTTCTACCAACTGGAACATGACCCCTAAGTCCACTAGTAATGGAGTTTCAGAACCACCTCAAAGTTCTTTTGGTAACAGAGATTAAGGCCTTTATTTTCCCACAGAGAATACTTGTATTTCACCTGGAATTTCAAAATACATTCAACTCTGGAAGAAAAGGGAATACAAGCAAGAAACATATACTTTACTGATTGCTTTTTTTAAAGAATTTCTTTAAGAATACCCCAAACTATTTTTAGTAATGTAGTATTTTTAATATATAATTATATACATCCCACTAGGCCGATTTCAAAACTACCTTGTTGAGTTTTGTAAACTGAAATGTTTTAAGTTGAGTGATTTAATAGATGCTTTTTTTATTTATATTTTTTGTGAACTGAGCTAAAATATATTGAGAGAATTTGCAAAAAAAAAGCCTAAATAGATTTTAATTAGATCTTGACTAATATTGAAAATAGCTTCTAAAATTTTAACAGTCTAAATGTATTTTATGTTTTCAAAATAATATCCATTTTGTATTGCATGATCAAAGAACATGGCAATTATGAAGTTAATATTTGTACATTATAAAATGAACATAATTTTATTAAGTATTTTGTTCCCTGCATTCTGATAATGGTGCCTTCATAATACTTTTTGACTTTAGAGTGATCAAAAATCAGACTGGAGATGTGTACTCATAAGGTCCTGGGTTCAACCCCTTAGCACTGCAAGAAAACAAAAACAAAAAAACTCCTTGTGTAAATCAAAAATTATCACTGTAGCTATTTGAGTAGAATGCATAGTACATGGCTAATAAGAATACGAATTCTTTTATTATGTGTTGGATTCCTAATAAGGTTGTATGGACTTTTCTTTTCTCTGTTTTCCTCATAGTGCGGGAGTTGGCCGGACTGGTTGTTTCATCGTAATAGATGCCATGTTAGAAAGAATAAAGCATGAAAAAACTGTAGATATTTATGGCCATGTAACTTTAATGAGAGCCCAGAGGAATTACATGGTTCAAACAGAAGACCAGTACATCTTTATCCACGATGCACTGTTAGAAGCAGTGACTTGTGGAAATACCGAAGTGCCAGCTAGAAACTTGTATGCCTACATTCAGAAGCTGACACAAATAGAAACAGGGGAGAATGTCACAGGAATGGAGCTCGAATTTAAGGTACGGCATTGGATGTGATCTGGTTACTGAGGAGTAAGTCATTCTGGGATTGTCTTTGAGTAGTGGCCTTTCAAATTCTGAAGTGCAAGATTTCATTTGACCTTCTCCTCAGGTATCTGATTATAAAACACTTTCTTTTTGGTTTTCCTCCTCTATTCTTTTCTTCCTAACAATACCTTGAGCCATTTTTTGTCCTAATTTAAAGTAAGAGAACAAATGCTTGGAACATAATATTTAAAAATTCAGTAGGCTCTATGGAGAAATTAGAAGTAAAAAAATCAGTGCAATTTGAAAATCTTTTACTTTAAAGTAAACAAAAGATTTATATCTGAAAAGATATCTTGAGTACATTGCATTCAAGTCATTGGATAACACTATCTTTGTCAAATTTTTCTTTTATTCCACTCAACAGCGTCTAGCCAGCTCAAAAGCTCACACCTCAAGATTCATCAGTGCCAATCTTCCATGTAATAAATTCAAGAATCGCCTTGTTAATATTATGCCATATGAATCTACAAGGGTATGCCTGCAGCCTATCCGAGGAGTAGAAGGATCTGATTACATCAATGCCAGTTTTATTGATGGATACAGGTATACTCTTGCTCCCCTGACAATCCAAAGTGTTTATATTTGCATGTGCCCTAGTTTCATAACCAAAAGGAATTTTGTCTCTATTCAAAGCCATTTTCTTTCTGCATAGGTCAGCAGTCAGTCCCTTGGTATTTGCTTTTTTATTATTTTTGATAGGAGTAAGAAGCAGTAGTTAAGGAGTTTTTAATCTGACCTTCTACATTCTTCTTTCATAATCCATTTGGATTATGAAAGAAGGTTTTAAAAAGAAGCTTTTTTTTACCATATTTCATAAATTTAATTGATTATGTGAGCATCATTTCTAGAAAATGAAGCCACACACTGTTTCTTAAGTGATTTGTCTGACACATGAAATTGAGCTATTAGCATTGTACTAAAAGTTAATAATGATAAAGACATACGTCATAATATTTACAAAGAAATTTACTTGGGAAAGTCCCCAAAATGCATTAAATGCTCTTATTTGATTATATAATCTTAATAGGAATTTATTGCGGTTGCATCAGTGCGTTCATTCTCTGTTAGCAGGTTTGATTTTGACATATTAAGTGTGAACTCATGCATGTTCTCAAAATAGCATTCTCTTTTCATTCTCTATAATTCAGACAACAGAAAGCCTACATCGCTACCCAGGGGCCCTTAGCAGAGACCACTGAAGACTTCTGGCGGATGCTGTGGGAACACAACTCCACCATCGTTGTGATGCTCACCAAGTTGCGTGAAATGGGCAGAGTGAGTGTGTCTGTCTCATCATAAAACATTCCTGTCTGGGGAAAAGGGATTTCATTTCTAATAATTCAAGTACAACATCATTTCCTTAAAATACACAGTGCTCTGGATACAATCTGGACCATTCAGTACTGGTTGGTTTCTAATTCCATATTAAGCTCTTTAATTTGTGTGTTTTGAGGAAGGATCTAGTGCTTTGTGCCAGTGAAAAACATTACTAGAGATACAAATATCAGCACATGCCTGTCTGACTTGTATCTGACTCTCGGCATATTTTTGTTTCCTTTTCTCTGGATAGGCTGGACTTTCATGAGCAAATGTAGCACCATTTCTCTATATGAAGGAACTTGAATTTATTCCATTCCTGGGACAAATTCTTATCTACCTTCCATGCCCAGTGGACAATGTGTTGGAAAGTCACATAGTTTTTCTAAGGATGTAATCTGGCAATCCCAGATATTCTTTATTATTTTGTTTCAGAATACTAATTTTAAAAAAAGAATAATTATTCTGGAAAAATAAAGTATGATGATTCTGAAATGCACATAAAATACTTAAGGACCTACCATTAAGATTCAATACATATAAGTATTTTGCCACATTTCCTTAAGAGCTCTCTCTCCTTTGTGTAAATTAAATGGTAGAAGTATGACTAAAACCCAACTTTTATAGTGCATAAAGAAAGCAAAAAGAACATTAGACTAGGAAAATAACCAGCTCCTTCTAATTTGGCTGCTGATCTCTATGGGGTTTACCCAAGTCGCTAAAATTACCTGGAGCCCAGGTCCCTCAATGGACAGATCAATTCAGAGTTGTTGGTTTTTTTTTTTTTCCTGCATTCACATTGATTGTTCTCTTCCTTCAAAATCACATCAGTACAAGCCTGCTGTGTTGGTAGCAATGCAGGATTGAAATGGCTAGCATTGCACAAGTACTAATGTAATTCTTTGAATAACATAGATGTAAAGATATCTCCCTGCTAAAGTAGCCAGTTCAACTGATGTGGATTAAGCAGATCCTGTATGCAAGGTTCTATACTAGAACAATGGGCAAATATTAAACCCAATGGCTTCCCTATCTTCAGGGAACTTAGGGTTTCAAAGAAAAGATGACTTAGGGCAATTCAAATTACCTTGAATTTTAAAATTTTATTAATGAGAAAAAAGAATGTAGATACATGACAAACAAAATTTTATTTACACTTTATATCATTTAACATTAATCTCTCTTTTTAGGAGAAATGTCACCAATACTGGCCAGCAGAACGTTCTGCAAGATACCAGTATTTTGTTGTAGATCCCATGGCTGAGTACAACATGCCACAATATATCCTAAGGGAGTTCAAGGTCACAGATGCCAGGGTAAGTTGGCACAGTCTTCAGCTCTTAATCATTAGCTGAAAATTAGTCAAAAATATACTTCCTTGAGAAAATATTTGCCAAGTGTCCATACTCCCAAAGAGAAAAGAAATCACCCTTTCTGAATTTATTATCATAAAACTTTTTCTGTGTCTGGCAAGTATTCTCATAAGCCCAGGTTTGGCTTCCATTCAAAGATAACATCTTGCAGCCCAACTTTGGGGATACACTTGGTGAGTGCTTGTGCTAGGAAGCACTTATTGATTGGTGGACTATGCTTACATTCACCTTCTCAGCTCATTCTCTTTGGAGATCATTTGATTCCTTCATTTCTCGAGGCTGTAAATATGTTGTTTGTTTTCAAAGCCCTTTAGGTCATGTGGGCTTGGATGTTAATTTGGTATGATTTTAAAACTGCAGAGCAAATGGCATTCCTTAGAAGAATCTGACAAGCTTTGCACATTCTAATTTGATTCCTGGAGTGGTTTATTCCTCCATGTGCTAATGTGTCTGTGCATGAGAGCTTTGCACCCATGACCCTTACTGGCTAAATTTCATTCTGCATTTTGTATCAAGATTGCTGAGTCCAAGGTTCAGCCCTGATGTAAGATGTTCTATGCAAAAAGTTTAATATCTTTGCCTTTAGCCACTCTCAGACCATGACTACAAACACATCTTAAGGAAGACTAGGTCAGATTAAAGTCTTGCTTTATTTTTGGAATTGCCACAGTGGGTGGTTGAATAAAACTCCATGGCAGAGCTTTCTGGAAAATATTTTTTTTCCAAATTCATGTTTGTAGGTTGTCTGTTAATCCTCAAAGCCTGGCTGTTGACTTGAAGAGCTAGAGAAAGTGACTATCAGGAGGGTTGGCCCAGGTGACAAACCTGTTAATCCTAGAAAGTCTGAAATATTAACTACCCTAATGTCCACTGCACTCAAGGCAGTCATTATGTCTCTAGGTCTCATTTTTGAGTTGTTTAATCAAGAATGCCTTGGTTACTTCCCTGTTGCTTTAAAAAACAAAATGCTTTTTTTCTTTTTAGAGAAAAATTCTTTTTAGAATTTGAAGCTAGGTGTGTGAGTAAAACTTGAAGTACACTAGAAGTAAACTCACAACTATTTCTTATAAGAGAGAACACAAGACCAAGTCTACCAGTGGCAGAAACACCTTTCCTACTCCCTATATTCCCAAATTAAATCTGACCACAATAAGCAAAAGAAGATTGAAACTTGCTCACATGTTTTTTAAAGTCTACCCGTGATTGTGTAATTTCCTTAGCTACCATAGCAATTGCTGTTTGTGCTCCTGGTGTGCTTTTAATTTCACCTCCTCAGTTCAGAAAGCAACTTGGCACTTGAAAATACAGTATTGTTAACAGGTAACCTTTATGGAATCAGGTGGTTTCTCCTCCAAATAGTAAGGGTTTGTGCACATGACTTCTTTTTCCTATTAAAAGCAACATTCAGAAATGAAATCCCCAGGACATTTGGAGGAGAACAAATCTGCACTACTACCTAACCCTTGACATTGCTTCCATAACTTTCCAAACCTTTTCCAGAAACAGGGAAGTAAATCATGATTCCATGGTAACTGTCTATGAACTAGTTATGCATCCAAGTAGTTATTTCTGTATTCCTCTGTGTTCTCACAAATTTGGTGTGATCTTCCTGATTTACTTCTATCCCCAAATGATAGGAATCTACCCTGTGCCTACTAGTCTAGTTGATTGTCCATCTTATGACAAGCTACCCTCTTTTCTCGAATAGACTGAATGAGAAAGATTGAGTCTCTGTCCACTTACGCCATAATCTTGTGAACATATATGCCTTCTATTGGAAGCCTCTTCCAATAGAAGAGGCCATTTGGGAGCAAGTCCTCTTCAAATGGGATCAGTCCCTCTAAGCTTAGGGTTGATTAACCCTTTTATATGATGAATAAGCAAAGGGTCCCTCTTGCTCTCCTTGTGCTTCCAAAGAATTCCAGAAAGAACCATAAGTGCTTCAGTATCTTCTTTTCATACCATTATACCTCTTGAGTCAGAGCAATTTTGCCTAATCACTTTAGAAAAGGCTCCTCTTACATCTGGCTTGTTTTCTTTCTTCCTTTCGAGTTGTCTTTGTAAAAGCTCCCTACAGCCTACTTAATTCGTGTCAACCAGAAAGAATCCTCTTATAGCAAAGGGCATTTTTACAAATAATCTCTTTGGTCTCCTTAAGGGGTGCTTGACAGCATCATGCTATGGCTAGAAGTTGTGTGCCTCTGAGACACACGGGGCATCCAGGTTAGAAGCAACTAGCTGGTTTGTGTCAGATCCTTTAAATGTCACCATTTGTCATTTGATAATGTTAGAAATAAGCAAGAATGGTAGATGTGAAATTATCAAATGGTTTGGATGATATGCTGGAAAGTCCTTTCAATATTAAGTTGTTATTGGTTCTGAAATAGAGACTCTATGCTGCATTTTGGAAAGACTGTGGGCATGACCCATGACTCTGAACCCAAACTTTGGGTCTCTGAAGAATTTGTTATTAGTAAATAGCCTCACAGTTCTCTTGTCAGAGAACATAGGTGTTTAACAAGGCATTGTGAGAGTGAATACATTTGTGATTTAAATATGTATGAATATAGACAATGTTAATAGAAGATGCGCATAACTAAGTTTCAGTTGAACATGCTCCTAACTTTTTCTACCATTTTTTATTTTTGAAAAAAAACCAAAAACATTATGATTGCTCTTGTGGTCTGTGTGCTTGCTGAATCCTCCTGGCACCCTTCCTGGTGGCTGGGTTTGTGGCTTTCCCTCTAAAGGACGGCCAGTCTCGAACAGTAAGGCAGTTCCAGTTCACTGACTGGCCAGAACAAGGAGTGCCAAAGTCTGGAGAAGGATTTATTGACTTCATCGGCCAAGTCCATAAAACAAAGGAGCAGTTTGGCCAAGATGGACCCATTTCAGTCCATTGCAGGTGAGCTGAGAATCACAAGGGCTAACTTTACATTTATGATTAATGCAATAACACCTTTGAAAATAAGTGGTGGTGTCACTTCCTATCCAAACTTGCTGCAGTGAATCTGTATAATTGGAAGTTTATTTTCAGAAATGTATTGTGAATCTTAAAAGATTTCTCTTTCTTTCTATAAAATGAAAATAATCAAAGTTTTTAATCCCAAAATTTACCTCATGTAAGAAAAACCAAACTGTGGTTTTCCTTGTTAATTTCACTTTACCAGGAATTGTTGGTAATATATTCTGTTAATCATTTCTTATTTGCCATACATTCACAGAATTGAAAGTTTAACTATCTTTCTATATCTCCTGTGTTTCTCTTGGAAAAACTATAAATAGCTATCAAAACTTAATGACAATACTAATTCTTGTCAGTCAATAAGTGATTAGAGTGGTATCTCTGTTAAAAATGAAATTTGCTTGAAAATTGTTGCTATGCAGAAAATGGAGCACCTTCAATTTAATTATTTGAAACATTTTCTAGAATATTTTATATCTTAAGTCATTGAAGTTAATAGAAATACCAAGTAAACGATTTAGACATTCACCACACACTTAGTGCTTTTGGAAGTCACTATGCAAAAACCTGTAGGAAAAGGAATTTACCTAGTTTTATTTCAGCTACTATATTTTAGGATTCTAGCAACTTGAAGTCTCCGCATCTAATCTTTTTAAGATCAAAATCTTGAAATCAATTTGAAAAGGTTTATTATACTTCAGTGCTTCAAAAAAACACTATAGTTCTCTTTTTTTCTTTTTGTGGTACTGGGGTTTGAACTCAGGGCCTACACCTTGAGCCATTCCACCAGCCCTTTTTTGTGATATGTTTTTTCAAGATAGGGTCTCACAGCTATTTGCCCAGACTGGCATTGAACTGTGATCCTCCTGATCTCTGCCTCCTGAGTAGCTAGGATTATAGGTGAGCCACCAGCATCAGGCTAAGAGCTATAGTTCTTAACAAATACAAGTAGGATCTCAAAATAGGACAAATATTAGACTTGGGCTTCAAGATATGTGTTCTAGTCCTAGTTCAAATATTATGTTGCTCTATGACCATAGGGAAATTTTCCAGACTTTGTCACTTCCAATCCCTAGTATCCTTTCTAGCACTCTTTATTACTTAGGCATGGTGTATTATATGAGAAACCCACTTATTTTGTGCTATCAACCCAAAAAGCTTGTAGGGAAGTGACACACGGAGTCAAATATTCAAAATGGATGTTTTATACTGGGTTTGAAATACCTGGCATTTCTTTTAATTTTTAACATGATATGCCCAAATACTTGTTCAAGCTTTCCAGTAAAGAACAAAAGTATATTTAACACATGTTTTTATTTTTTGGCATTCCCATAAGTGTATAAGTGTGTTACTTCTCCTTGTTTTTGTCATCACAAAATGACTTGAATACTCCCTTAGAATAAATGCCAATATATACATACATATAGAGATGAATACATCTTGAAGACTTCTAGATATTTTCTTTGGGAATATCTTGAAAATACTACCTATTTTTCTAGCTAGTGGACAAGGTAAAGTCAAATTCAGAATTTGTTCTTCTCTTAGAAATGCTTAATAAAAACCTAGAAACATATTTTTTGTTACTTTTGAGCAATTAAATCAAGATAAGAGAGAATCTGAAGTACTTGGACCATTTAACAAAAAAAGATTGTAGATCAGTCTCTCAGGACTTTGAAGGTTGAAAGGGACTCTCAATGTCATCTTAACAGAAGCTTTGATTGCTGTTGGAGTTGATATCTTCAACTACTTTTTAAAGCATGCCCATGGATTTTAAAGCCACACTTAACATTTCTGCTTAAACTCTTTAGAAATCGCAGTTTATAAAGGGACATACTATATATATGCCTGTCAGCTACATCCCCAAGTAAATGAATCCATCCATTTTCTACAGCCTGTGCCCAAGCGTTACACATGCCGTTTAATTAGGATCCAAAAATGGAGGGATTTTTCGGATTATTCACTGTTTTCCTCATTACCTAAACCTCCAGATGCTTTCCTACTTAAGTGCACAAGAGTTATGAATTAATTTTCTTTCTTGCTGCTGTGAAGATTCTGGAATTGTCTTGAAATAGTAAAGACAACAGAAAGCAACTCAAACCCTGCTAATGTGATAGAATCTGGGGTTTTAGGTGCTGGTCACCTAAAAACAAGTAGATAAGTGCAGAAATCAATGGCTCTTAGCTATTCGTTTAGACTGAAAACCTCTTTGAGAATTCATTGAAAATTATAAGCTTCATGAAATAGGAAAAAATAGGACATTTCCATAACCCATACGTATAGAACATTCATGGATCCTACCAAAGACTAAGTGAAACATCCTCCCATGTCAAAAAACCCTGTTATGGAATCTCTTTATTTTGTATCCAAACCAGTGTCAATATTTAAATAGTCTGTATGCCTTGTTATATAATTACATGATGTTTTAAGTGATGGGGCACTGTGCATGGATTGTGACTCACAAAGTGATTAATGCACTGAACAATTGAAGACACTCTATTTCTCCTTATTTTGAATTATTATAGTTTCAGGATCTGCATAAATAGTAAAAGTTTATATTTTATTTACTTTCCCTTTTATCCACTTATTTTATTGTGTTAATTTTGTCTTGGTCTTTTCTACTGGGGTTCTATACCATTTTAAAAAGTCATTGTATTTTATAAGACTTAATGCTAATTATTTATTTGCACATTATCGTAGCACACTATCCCATGAGAATTCATGTAGTGAACTCATTTCCACATTTTTCTGAACAATGTTATGGGGAAACTTGAATGTGGAAGCTGGTGGAAGAATGTCTACCTCCTAGCAAATGGGGCCAAGACTATGAACATATGATCTAGTAATGTTGCCTTTGTAATCATGGCAGTGCGGGCGTTGGAAGAACTGGTGTCTTCATAACACTGAGCATTGTTTTGGAAAGAATGAGATATGAAGGAGTTGTAGATATCTTCCAGACCGTCAAAATGTTAAGAACACAACGACCAGCCATGGTGCAGACAGAGGTGAGAAAAATCTCCATGACAGAACATCTGAGAGTCCAGGGACACTTAACACTAGATGCAAAATACTTTGAGAAAAGCATTGAAGTGTTTAATATTTTTAAACCTCATTTACCTCCTCTTTAAAATAGGGTGACAATATTAATGTATCACTGTTATTGTGGTGATTACATGAGATTCTATAGTAGGTTGAACCATTTTTAATTATCACCATTTGACCATTTTTAGCCTGCAAGTGTCAATTTTTCATGTCTCATGTATATATTACTATAAATAATATACCTATTTATTTATAAGTATATAAAAAGCATACTGTTTGGCACATAGTATATACTCTCAGCCCATTTTATTTCTACATTTTCTTTCTGTATGCCTACAGGGACATCATCTGTTCTGTATTTCGTTTCTTAACTACAGCCATTTAAAATATTCGGGTCATGTATAAACCTAAAGAAATTAGTCCTGCATTTTACATTCCACTAATTGATAATGAAATTTCTAAGGATAATATGAGTTCATGATTAGCCAATCTGGCCTGTTGATTGTTTCTAAGAATAATATGAGTGGTAGTGTTTATATCCCTCAAACAGCCACAAAATTATGGAATTTATATGTGCTCCTCAAGTCATTACTCACAATCTTTCAGACTTTGATTTCAAAATAGTGTGAGCATTTGGCTTGTAAAACTCAAAACATTGTGTCAGTCTGACAAACGTAATAGGTGTTGGGGGTGACAGAGAGAAATTGGATGTTAAAAAAGCCTTAACACTTAGCCAAGCAACTTACTGTGACAAGATAGGAAAGCAAATGCCATTTATTTTACATTACCATTTTTATTGTAGAAAAATGCACATTTAAGCAAAATAGAAACTATCTACTTTCAGCCCCATTGGCTACTGAAAATAAGTTTCTTTTGTGAGGAAAATCCTACTTTTTCTCATCGCTATAGTTGTCTCAAAATGGTTATTTTGCCATCTCCCCAACAATGCTCTGATTTATTCTGCTATGACAGTGTTCTTCCTTATTTGAAAAAGGGCACATTTCATACTGTTTTATTTCAGTATGGGCCTTTCTAGAATAGACAACTTGCAATCGCACTGAGTTAGGCCAAATGACACAGGTATTCTTTTTAATGGCACCAATCTTTTGATGCCATTTTCAGAAATAAAATGCTTTAATGTCCACAGCCCTATGTAAATGCCTTAATGTACCTGGTGTTCCTTACCAGCTACCTTTGATCTGCCTCTCTCAGATATGAACATCAGAAATGATGGTAATTAATTCTGATTGCAGGTGATACGGGTCTACTGTTCTATCAGAACTTTTTTTACTCAAATCCAGTTGGCAGTAGTCCAAAAAATACAAATCCAGTTTTCGTTAAGAAACAGTTTGCATTTGGCTGTGCTTGAGTACTTGCTAGGTCTGTGTTTTACCTCAGGAGCCTTACCCCCAGATCTTTTTTGCTTTAGTTTTAGGATAGGGTCTTGAATTTTTCCCCAGAGCTGGTCTTCATGGTTCGAGACCGGCTCTGGACAAAACTCAAGACTCTCCCGCATATCTGGGATTACAAACATGTGCAGCCATACCAGGCCCAACAGTTTGCTTTTGTGTCAGCATCTCTAAATTTGCAACCTGAGAATTAATTACCACAAGAAAACAGGTGACAACTATGACACCTAAGAGGTTTGTATGTTCAGCTGGTGTGACTGGTTGTTACTACTTAGAAAATAATGTTCACTGGAGCTGTCACTGTTTAGAATTGGGGATAATTTTAGTCAAATTGATTGGCAAAGTTAATACACACCCCATGTGGCTAATTGTTCCTGTTCACTACCACTGATTGGTCATTGGTTTGAATTGATTAAGAAAGTAGTGAATTAGTTCTCATGTATATGCAACTTTGTTTTCCAATACTGATTTTCATTTTTCTATTAAAATATACTCGTGGTCCTTTCTCCTTTTTTCCTCACGCCCTGTCTCCTGCAGGATCAGTACCAGTTTTGCTATCGAGCCGCACTAGAATACCTGGGCAGCTTTGACCACTATGCAACGTAGAAACCCTGGACCCTTTCTGGATTTTTACTACAGGCCCTTCAATATCCACGGAGTCTCTTCTGAGCCATACAGGGCACTTGAGAAGTCCTTCTTAACTTCTAGCTAACAACCACTTAGTGGGACTATTACACACAGAACAAATTAAAAACTCTTCCAGGTGGACCAAGAATTCAGTTTGATAATCTAACCTGAAAAATAATGAGAACCCTGACTATGAGGCATCTGAAGGATTTGCTTTACAGATAACCTCAAGGATTCAAAATAAAGGGAAGAAGAAATCACAGCAAAGAACCACCATCTTGTTCAGGATTTCTTGACAGTTAACAAAGAACTTGCCAGCACGTGCTATAGTTCAGCGGGAGGTGTTTGCTGGCGTGGCTTCTCATGATGAGATGGACTCTTGCTTCCACATCGCCCCTTCCCACCATGACACTCATAATTACATGTTAGGGGTAAGGGTGGGGATGTTTAAAAAGAGAGTCCTTGATTTAGTTTTTTAGTATTGTAAAGATACTGCTGACCTGTGTTTCATTTCTAACTGTGTCAACTTTTTTTTAACAAAATGTATCATTCGATAAAAGTGAATTTTAAAAAAAAGTTAACCTAACTCTTCATTTTTTTATTTCCAAGTGGTAGGTTTTTTTAAGCTGTAGAACTGTTATCTGTAGTATCTTGTAGAAATATCAAATAATTTGAAAATTTGCACATTTTTGTGCAATATTCTTCATCTACAGTATCGGTCTCATCAGATATTACTTGTACACTTCTGTTTGGTTTTAACTGATGAGAAACTACCCGCTCTCTTCAAATAATCAAAGAGAATTTTGTTTTTTGGAATCAACAGGGAGGCGCAAAGTATAAAGCTGCTGCTAACATATATACATATATATCCATATTTTATAAGGGTGTCTATGTATATATAGTCAGTGTATCCACAAAAGATAGATTTAGCTATCATTCAGTTCTTCCATGATTTAGTTTTTTAAGGGTATAAAAGCTATCATAAACATCTTTTTAAATTGATTCTTAATTTTAAGACATATTGGTATTTCTTAATATTATAAAACTTTTATTTTTAAAGGGAAATGAGGAATGCACATCAGTGATTATTAAGCCTCACCCCCTAATTTCCTATCCATTTTCCCCCCACCGCCCCATCCACCCACTCATATTCCTAAATACCATTCTATTAGTCAGGCTTCCAACAAAGTTCAATATTTTTAACACTCTAGTGCAATAAAAAATTATTAAATATCTAAGAGGTGTGCATGTGGGAAAGGTCAGTGCATATCCCTTTAGGAGGGGAGAATGTTGTAATATATCAGCTATCAAGTTGTTTTTTTTAAAAAAAAAGTGTATTCAATCGTATATTGTCTATAGTATGTGCTATGAAATTTGCATTTATGATATGTAACAGGGGCAAAGCCAAACTCATGTTACTCTGTTCAATCAGAAACATTTTATGGCACACAGCATTCCTGGGAAGTGCTGTATGTTGTTTTGGTTTTAGTTTTGCATTTAGAGTGCCTTATAATTGATGCCTATTTTAATAGCATTTCTTTTTAGCTTTTGGTTCGTATTTCCATTAGTTGTTCATATCTGTTACTCTTTCAATTAAAGCATTATCTGTTTACCACATGTACAAAAACTCTTTGAATAATATGCATTCCTAGTTTTCAGCCAAGTCGGGGATGTTAGTGATTGTACCAGCCCAAAGCACTTGGATAATCAGGACCCTTCCATTCGTACTCATCAACATCAGGAAAAACTACTTGTTTTATTTAAAAATCCCTTCCAAATCTGCTCTGGAATGTACAGTTACTGTACCAAACTTATTTCAGTAATAAACATCATTGGCAACTTTGGGATGTAATTGATATTCCATTAGGACTTTTTTCTGAAAGGGGAAATTAATATGTCACTCCCCCAAAAAAAGATTTTTCCAACATCATTTCTCTAGGAAGCCATGGATGGTGGCATGAGTTTGCCACATACTACATGATTTTGAAGAACCCCCCAAACTCCTAATAACTCTAAAAGAGTTTTGCTATCATTATATTTTGGTTTAGCTTCATGGATGTTCTGCATAAAAGGATATTTGTTTTCACATTTTCCCATCACTAGCAGAACGAAATCCAAGAGACCAAACACTCGCAAGCATCATATTTGAGCACTTTTGTAAAAAAAAAAAAAAAAATAGAAAAAAGAAAATATATATAATACTAAAAAAAAAAAAAAAGTATCTTAGAAGGCTACCTCAGAATGAGACTCTCTAACCTACATCAGAACCAGAGAAGAATGTGCACTGTGTGGGTCTGTTGTTTTCTTTTAGTTTGTATCTTTTAAAGATTTATCCAAGTGCCAGATTACTCAGTGCTATAATTTTCTTTTAGTGAAACAAAGGGGGTCAGACATTGCATCATCCAGACATACCATGTTGGACATGTAGAAACTGATGCAGTATTGCATACCAGAATGATTGACCGCTGAGCAAGTTTGTCTCCCTTGAAAAGAAAACAAAAACTGCCCATGAGGCAGAGGGAAAGATGACAATAATCACAAGAAAATGAATGGGATGCATACCATAGACAAAGGAGGCGGAGACTATTCCAGATATCTTGCTGTTCAGGAGCTGTTTCTAGAACTAACTCCCTTACTGTCATTGATGTGCATTCCACTCTGTACTTTTCTGTACAACCATTCAAGTTTTAATTTCCCAGGTAAACATCTTTATCTGTCATTATCATAAACTTTCAAGTTTCCAATTATTTTCATCATCATAACCAGTACGGTGCTATTATTTACCTATGTACGTGTAGTTATGTATAATTTTGTAATTAGTTACAATGGTAAAAAATCAAAATATATAAAAAGTGATTTGTACAGAACTTTATTTTAGCTCTTTTTTAAAAATGATTTGCATGGTTAGACAACAGCGAGGACAGCCAGGGGAGGGAAGGGCCTCTAGGGAACTTTGCACTTTCTATACCTTTGTACTATGCACTGCCCTATTGATTCTACACCCAATAATGTTATTACTTGAACCCATCTGTAAGAAACTGCTTCAGAAATTCATTTGTGTGTGTGTAAATAACACAAAAAAGAAGCAGGAAAGGGGGAAAAATATATGTGCAATACTGCGCATATCTTTTTTTTCCCCTTTCCTGCTTCTTTTTGTTTTTGATTTGTTTTAGTCCCTCTGTATTTTTAATTCCCTTTATGTTTTCCTTTGGAGGTTTTAGTTTCCTGTGGGTTTATGGGTGCCCTGATACTCCAGCAGAGATCAGAAGGCTACAGATCCATCCTATCCATCCGTTACGTGGCTTTGCCATCCAAGCTTGGAGTGTCTTTACAAAGATAATAACAGTTGTGTTCTTTGCTCTCGTTTTGGATGCATAGACTGAAAACTAAAAAAAAAAAATAACTTGTAAAATGGCTTGTTAAAAAAATACAATTACCTCTAATTAGTAGTACGCGTAAATGTTTTACAGAATGAAAGGCGTGCTTTTTATTTTCTTACTTCGTTACATTGGTGGCGAAAGAAGTCTGTATGAAAATCAGTTCTTTGCTGACACAAGTTCCATTTGTTACAAATGAATTCTAATAAAAATGTCAGTGTTATGCAGCCCTGGTCTATGGGTTTTGTCCACTCCAGCATGTTAATTTCGAATGGACTATATGTTCCTGCTTCCCTTCTGATTAAGTAGTTATTTCCTTTGTACTTGTAATAAGTCTGTTTACAAGTGCAACCTTGAGATAAGCACTTTCCACTGATCACAAACTGAGGCTCAAGTTCATACAGCAAAGAAAGCAGCATTGATTTCATCCATATTAGAGATTATAGACAATGTTTAATTCTGTGAAAGATGACTGCTCTATAAAGTGCATTAGGATATATGTAAATATAATCATCTTCTTCAAAGAACCCACCTCTCTCACGCACATAAAAGTAGGACCATGGTGTTAATTTATTTAAATGGTGGGTTTGGGAATATGGCTGAGAAATACTTGGCTTGGATTATGTACTCAGTCATTCACTATCACTTAAGTTGTAATAATAGATAAGACCTATTCTAGGTACTGAGGAAGTGGTTCAAATAAGTGAGCTACAAGCTGCTATTTACATAGAGACTACAGATAGTCAGAGAGGTTAGCACTGAAGGAATGACAAGTGCTATGAAAATATAGTATCAATGAGATTAGAACTTTGAATTGTCAATAACAAAGTCTGACTCAAATTGTCCTGTAGGGAAAAAATGGTGTTTGTTGCTCACATAAAATACCTAAGAACAGACTCATACTGAGAGAGAAAGAAGACAGTCTTCAGGTATAATGGGATTCAGAACTCAAGTGATGTCTTGCAGATTTGACATCTTTCCCCATCTACCTGCCTGGTTTCTACTTTCTTAGTGTTAGTTTTAACACTCCTTGTTGTGGTCCCTGGAAGCCTCAGAATTATAACACCACAAGCCAAGTAGGTGGAAGATTTACTTTCCTGATAGCACAAACAAAACTTAAATGGAGTAGATTCTTACTGACTTAGCTGACCTGACTTGGAATAGGTAATCATTTCGGAAATACAAACATGGATAGGAGGAGAAAATGTGCTCATTGGGTTTTAGTGATTTAACCTGAATATTGTTGAGACAGTGGCTGCAAATCAATCTAATGAGTTCAGGTATGCACAGGTATGTTAATCATCAACATAGAGAAAACATGATGTCATGGAAATAATGACAGAATGAAACAATCCCATTTTTCAAGCATTATTTTGGAAGTCCTGGTACTGAATAAACAACTTCTCTCTCTCACTTATTCATCTACTCTGCCTAATTGGCCTTTAGTTTTGCAGATTTATGACCCTATTGATTATAGGCACGTAATCCTTAATCAGAACATCATGACAAAAAGTTCACAATGCATCATGTTTGTTATTTTGATCATTGTAGCTCATTGTTTTAAATCATTAGAATGCTAAAGGTGACCAAATATGATGTAAGTTAATATTAGTTAATAACTTGGTAATAATTAGTTTAGGGCTCACTCAGTCTTATTCATGAATAAACTTTTTGAGAAAATTTAAATAAAGTAAAATGTAAGTAAGATGATGGCTCAGTAAGATCCTCCATGTATCTCTCTCTACAGATACAACAAATTAAAAAGTTATTCACACCTCAAACTACCTTCATAAGAGCTAAGGAAATCAAGTAAAAGCCCATTCTGCCTGATTTTACACAAATCATAACAATGACAATGAAGACAACACTGGCAGACAGGAAATAGTTGCCTGTGTTACCCCTCCCCCAACTCCAAGCATCCCAGTATAGCAAGTGTGTCCCATGGACACAGCCACAGGAATACTGGATGGGCAGCTGACTTTCTACTTCTCCAACCTTGGGTTACAGAGCAGGGAAGAAAGAATCCACCTGTTGAGAAGGAGAGCGTGAAAGCTGTCACATAGCTTTGCCTTGGAACCCAGTGTTAAGTCTACTGTGGTGAGGCTCAGCACCTGAAAGAAACCAAAGTCTCCATAGGCAGGTCAGAGATCACAGACAGATCCTCAAGTCCAGCCCCAGCAGAGACCTGTACACTGGTGGGACAAGGTCCAGTTTTGCTGCATCTGCTTGGAGTAAGCCTGGAGTACACCCACCTTCCTCCTGAGACAATACAGGTCTCTGGCTGTGAGACTCCGGTGTGACGCAACTTAGCACCAGCTTTGGTGGTCAGGGACTGTCCCCACCACTCATCCCTATCCCCCAACCTCAGGCGCACAGCTGTCACAAGACAAGTGTTCACAGATAGGACTCCATAAATGACCTGGCAGTAGGCAAAGATGTGTCTCATTGGGATGGACTCATGTTTTGGTCTACATAGCTGCCAGCTGTGGCTTAGTTCTTGATATACTACTCTGAGTATGCAGGTCTTTGAGGCTTTGAGTCTCAGACTTAACCCATCTTAGTGCTAGCGTTGGCAGCCAAGGGACTGCTCTCACCAACACTAGCTCAACCTCATAGCATGGTGCAAGACTGTATTCACTTGGGGGCAGGACATGGTAGTAAGTGTAAAACTTTGCCCTGAACTTAGTGCTATGTTGGTACAACCTAACACTGGGCAGATCCTAGTGGCCTCTATTTCTTAGGCTGAATATAGTCAATCTCTGAAACAGATCCAGTGCTGAGAGAAGACATGCAGCCCCAGTCTATCAGAATTCTATGATTTCAGTTAGTACCACCTGTGGCTGGCCACAGTGGTCTTGAGTCAGGTGTCCACCTCAGAAATAGACAGTCATTGGCAGCATGGCCTTGGTCCTATCCCAGTGTCACACTGGTTTCTGTGGGCTGTAAGTAGGCTCAAGGTATGAAACTTACATTAGCAGCATTGTTGGTCACAGGTGTGACATAGGAGTCTGTGAGTGGGTGTCTGTCCAGGGTTAGCAAGAATCCTGTAGAGTGTGACCATAAATTAGTAAATGTAGAGGAGCATTTGTGCCTACTGCAGCCCCACGGAGAGGCTTATGGAGACAACCCTTTCTAAGTATTCTCCTGTTTCTTTCTAAACAATACACCAACAGTATATTTGGGATAAACCTGGAGCTGGATTGCCCTCCACTACTGAAACAGTGACAATACACCAATAGCAGACTCTTAGCAAATCTGTACATGACCACCATCCATTTCTGAATTAGTGAAAGACATTACAGGCTCAGATAAATAAGCAGCCTGCTTAGACTTTCTGGAAAGGCAGGCACAAACAACCAGATTAGAAAGATTGGAATACCTAATCCTTCAGTGCTCACATGATGTCACATATCAACAAGTATCAAGAGTGTTAAGGACAGCATTATATTACCTAGTACTCAAAATAAGGTACCTGAAACTGACAGGCAATACTCAGTATGGGAGAACTGACATAGAATTTAAAACAGCTGTTTTAAGGAAATTCCATAAGTTTAAAGAAAACACAAAGATATATTTTAATACTCTAACAGAGAAACTTAAGGTATTGAAGCAATTTTTAAAAATCAAATTCTTAAACTGAAAAATACTCTTAGCAAAACAAAAACATGATGGATGGCATCAGTAACAGGAAAGATCCAACAAAAGAAAGGACTAGTGAGCTCAAAAACAGTGTATTTGGAAATGCATAATCAAAGGAGGAATGAAGAAAACTTACTGAAACTTTGGGACAACATTAAAAGAACATTCAGGTCATTGGGGTCCAAAGACTTGAGAATGTTCAAAAAGATAGAAATCTTATTCAAAGAATTAATAACAGGAAGCATCCCAAGTGTAGAGAAAGATACAAAACCCAAGAACCAGAAGGTCAAATATCTCCAGTCAAACTTAACCAGTGTGCACCATGACGTCTTATAGCCAGAGTCTCACAGATGAAAGAGAAGAGATTTCCAAGAGAAAAGAGACAAGTAATACATAAAGGTATCCTAATTTGCCTGACAACAGAATTCTCAGCAGAAATTTTACTAACAAGGAGAGAATGGCATAAGGTCTTCATAGTGCTGAAGTTAAAAAAAAAATTGTCCACCAAGAATGCTGTACTAAACATTGCTATCCTTTAGAAATCAAGGAGGAATAAAGGTATGAACACAAACTGAGAGACTGTGATTTCACCAGGCCCATTTTACAAGAAATGCTAAAGGAAGATCTTCAAACTAAAAGAAAGAGGTTTTAATGGGCATTAATGAGTAAGAAGAAAGCATAAGTAGCTAGAAAACTCATGGGTTAGAGCAATTAATACAAATCCAGAATATATTAATATTGTTACATGGCATGAAAACCATTCATCTTTAATATGAAGACTATTCAACAAAACAACTAAAAACAAACTACATTTATATTGTAAGTGATAGACAATATAGGAAGATGTAAAATGGGATGTCAAAAATCCAAAATGTAGAAAGAAATAGAGTGAAATAGAGAAGTTTCTTAATATATTTTCCCTTGTTCGTTTTTGTTTTTGCTTTTATCTTTACAATCATGTTTAGTTGCTGTCATTTCAAAATAGCTTGTAATAATCAAAAGACTTTTTGTAAGTCTCATGGCAACCACAAAGCAAAAATCTGTAATAAATCAAAAATAATAAGCAGGGAATCAAAACACACTACTAAACTAATTCATGCAACCACAAAGGAGGACTGTAAGAGAGGAAGAAAGTAAGGCACTAGAGATGAGCCAATGTGGGTTGTAATACACATGTGCATGGAAGCAGTGCTAGGAATCTCTCCGTACAGCTATCCTTATCTCAAACTGGTGAAAATGCTATATCTTTCTTATTATTTCTTACGTTTTCTCGTCAACAAAATCAGAGAACAAGAGGTTCTGCCTAAAAACAGGGTGTGTGTGTGTGTGTGTTGAGGGAGGGGTGACCCAAACAATGTATACACATGTAAATAAATGTAAAATCAATACAATAAAAAAAAGATTTGCAAACAAACAAAAAGCTAGAGAACAAGTAACATAATAGATATGGTAAAACCTTTCCTATCAATAATTACCTTGAATATAAATGAATACATTTTCTAGTTAAAAGAGAGCAAATGATTAAACAAGACCCAACGATATGCTACTTTAAATAAATTCATTGTATCCCTCAGGACACGTGGAGAGT